CATAGTCACATCCTCACCGATACATTCGCATCCATCCTCCCACCCACAACTACTCTTACGATCTCTTTTTTCTTTGCTGCTTGCAGAAATGGATAACTTGTTTTATCACAAATGTAACCCATAAAACTAATTATCTCTATAAATCTTCTCTTCTGGTATAACAAATTTTATTTACGTGTGGTTGTGACGATCTACTATTTGTTTTCATGCCTGTGCTCTAAATTCTATCAAGTACTATAGCTTTTCCACTTATTTCTGCACAAAATAAGAAATCGTATTTGTTCTACAAAATACTAAGAAAATCATTCGAAAACTTGGACCTAACTCTTAAACTTTTGGCTCATGTAATTTTGTCTATTGTCGCTTTCTTTAACTAACTGAGTAACGGTAAGTGAAAGACTCAATGTGATTTTTCAATTGTCATCTCCATAGGAAGAAAAACGAAAATACGAACGAAAAGCTGCTTTCAGATCATTGCGTGCTTGCCGAGTACTAGAGATCACTGTTTACTTTTCTCTATCTGGTCTCTCAATATGGATGTCGAGCCATCATGCAATTTACCGTCAGAAATGAAGTTTGAATTGCACTTTGTAGTGAGACAACCTCGAATTTTATAGACACCAGCTTTAAAAACAGCATGAAGAAATTGTCAAACATATATTAGCGCGTTCTAACTGACGTATAATGATGAAAAAAACACAACCGACTATATTTATACATACCGAAGATCACCGTTGTGAAAATTCAGAGTGCGAAGGTTTGAGTAAGAGTGAAGAGATTAATTTTATACACATTCACTTGCATTTTTCAATGGAATTGTGCGAGTTTAATACAAAACCGGTTAGTTTCGAAAGAACAGTAGTGGTTGTACAAGAACCTACTTCAAAGTCTTGCTATTCTGCCTATATCCTAATTCCATCATTGCAAACATACTACTGAGAAAATATTGAAAGAATATATGAGAGAGAAATAAATAGAAAAAAGACAAGAAAAAGCTAATAAACCATTGAATACAACTGGAAATAAAGAAGAAGCATGTCAGGACATATTTCACGAATGACAGTTCTTCACAATAAGGACTCAAATAGCGTTGTTCATCATTTAGCTTAAATACCATGGACTACCTAAGAATATAACTGCCTCAAAATTAAATAGCATTATCTTTATTGATTTCAGAGAAAAAGCCGAAACTCTTTGAATGAACACACGAACGTTGCTGATGACATTCGTTTGCTGCACAATACTAATATTTAATAATTTTCTACATGAAACAGCATGAAAGCGTTACTTGAATAGAGAATAGTTGAACTCGACGATTTTCCATATCGATGACGTAGAGATTCGCATATCGATCGAATAATATGTCAGAAGAGTAGTTCATTTGATTTTCTTGTGCTTCTTAGTTGTTTCGATCAATAAAGAGATTTTTTTTGGGACATCCCTTTGTACCAACGCATCACTACAGATCGACAAACACGTACGTAGGAAAATGGAATTGATCGAGATGGTTATCTTGCCCGTTGCCATCCACCACTAATGTTCCATTTGTTTCTTCGGTTCTAAATCGTCTCATTTTATGCTTTTCAATATCAGTGACTTAGATAAATCTCTAATCGTCCATCGTGAAACCGAAACAAGCAATATTCTCGATGACCATTTCGTCAACTGTTGTGCTACATCGACGAGAGTATCGCAGATAAGAATACTATCTGTCTCTTGATCAACAATTCGATCTGCTGGATCATTAAACTGATTATTTCGATTTCCTACTCCATTACCACTGGCTACCATTTGACCACTTGTTGCACTAGAATTCCATTCCACGATACGGTGATTGTCTGAATCAGCGATAAAGATAGTTTGATCATCATAAACAAAGAGACCAAGAGGACTGCAGAGTGGGTTCAATGCACTGCCACGTCCGTTGCCTTTAGCGACCGTAACACTGTTTTATGGTCAAGTGGCATTGACAGAAATATTTGATAGAACTGCAATGTAAAGGCAAAGATTGTTAGTTCAGTGTTTCGCTGATCTCATCGAAAGGATTTCGTAGAAAAGTTTCAAAGCAATGTTCGTTCTTGTCAAAACTCCATGAATGGATATAACTGCTGATGATGTTTATTGTTGTGGCCAGTATAAAACATAATGAGTATACAACAAAGTCCGGTGTCTTGGCTCAATGCTCACTGGATTTCGCTGATGACAGAATTACGGAACTGTATAAGCGGATCTTTGGTAAATTTTGAGATTCAACCTGCGAGAGATTGGAAGTTCACTTTATATCTAAGAGCGTAGCTATTGCAATTCCACTATACATAGCAGCTGTTGCATGAATACTCCATTCGATGGTCCATTTAATGCTCAAGTTTGAGAAAAGAAAGATTTTTCTCTTACAGCAGCTCAGATAATTTGTGCTTCAGGAAAGAATTAATTGTTAGTATCAGTTCAAAATCAATGTACTCACCCTCATGGTCAGATTCTTGTTCAATTAGCATGTCGATACTCTTAAAACATAGCACCAATTTTTTGGCCTAATCCTTTTCATAGAAGCCAATGAAGTCACAACTTTAGTTCGAGAAGATTTGAGACTCTATGTCATGAAGACTGAACTGTATTAACAACATGTGAAGTCTATAGCTCCAGTTGAGTACAGCTCATGCAATTAATGAATCTCTAAAGCATGAATCATGTTTTTTTTATTAGATTTTTTCAAGTTTCACCCAACATGTTGATTACTTATTGATTGTTTTAGAATTAAATCAACTTAAAACGAATAGAACAAATATCATTTCCTACTTTGATTTATGTTGAATGAAAAAAAACATTTTTTCATACCAAGATTGGTCAATACAAAGAAGTGTGATCCTATGTACTATATATAGGTAAAATGCATTTATCATATACATAATTAACTTGATCGAAATATAAATATAATATCTGTAATGAATGCGTAACACTGCATATAAATGATGTGCTTTTGAGGATATTGCGGAGAAAAATGTTTTTCATCCCTGGAGAGATCACAGGAAGAATGAAAACGTGACTAAGAAATGGCGCCAAACTAAGTTGTAGCAAACACATCTAGTGACTTCCTGACTTTTTTTAGAAAGTTAAAAATAGATAAAAAGCCGTCTGTGAGAAAACGGTCATCCCAGCACGTACCCTTTAACTCGTAATGATTTGAAAAACTCAATGCTCCATAAATGTATTTGTGAATAAAACAATCCACAGCGTCTTAAATATGGTTACAGAATCAAATAAAATATTTTTTCTGTCCAAACAATAGATGACTTGAATACACTCAAAGACAAATCAACATGAATGATAAATAAACAAAAAGAACACAAGAAGATAAGACACTATTTACTAAGGTAATTAGAAGAAAAGAAGACGCCTGCTGTTCGCTGAATTTCATTCTTATTTGCGTAACGAAACGACTTCTACTGAGCGAAATTTTCTATCCTCCTTCATACGAACACTTTTGCTCATGTCTCTTTGTTCAAATCGGACTACAATCTTGATACTCACATTATTCACTCTCCATTCAGAATAGTTTCAGTACAAATTTAGTACTCTTTTATTTTCCATATTAATATGCTACAATCATTTAATAAAAATGTTTCAGCAAACGAAACAATGCAGACTTTTGTCCGTTTTTATTTCATTGCTAAGTGCACATTTTAAAAGTCAGGTAGTAAAATGAGCCGATTGTTGGTAATGAGTACAAATCTTATCTTGTCTATTATTGAATGAGTATTCGTTTGTGTGTCGATATTGATGTGACTTCCTGCTGATATTCCTTTCCTTTTTTCTTCTTATCTTATTCCTATTGTTGTTTTCTATATTCATTCTAAAGACATGAAGCTGGCCAATAACCATCATTATGAACGGTAGTGATAAGCGACTCTTCCAATTTGTCGTTGCAGCCTGAACACCCTAGATATACATTTCTACTCGAACGAAAATATCTGTCTTTATTTGGAATCAAATACATAGTAAAGAATTTTTCCTTTTCAGAGTTCGTGATAATTAACGATAGTTACTAAGAGTGCACAAAACGAGTGAGTTCAATTTGAAATGACCAATGATAACATGCCATACAGGAAGTGTTCTATTGCGAACACTGCACAATCGAGTTTTCTTTATATAAAAAAAGACATAATCATTGAATGGACCCTTTAATACGTCATTATTCTGAGAAGTCGACATGTATTCAGTACAAATTATTTGCTCGTATCATCCATGTCTCTCAATTATCACCATCTAGCAATGTTTTAGTAGCATATCTCTCGTCGATAAAAACTGACAACGCCTCCGATTTGAAATTTTTTAAATAGCTCTCCTTTTTTGCTCGAGTCTGTCCTTGTATATATATATGATTCAGTTGCTGCTTTGCAAATAGTTGCATACTGCCCTTGACACCATAATCTTTACTCTTTTTTTAAACGTTAGCAACAGTCTGTATAGACAATTTTAGTCAATGATTTATTGAAAATCTAAAAAGAAAGTTCAATAACAATCTTCTGAGCGACAAGATTTACACTCCATCAGGTACCTTTTTAAGGGTAGTCATCTCAGTTAGTCAATTAATCAGATTCTACCTCTTGCATATTGAAGAAGCTTTTGACGATACTTTTGTTGACAGCTGAGATGAAAAGAGAAGGAAGCTATTTAGTTTCACTTGATCTCTAAAGATTATCGCATGTAATTTTTTCAACGTTAAGATTTTGAGCTAGTATATTGATCTACACTCATGATCAATGCTTGGCTAGAAGGAATACTCTGTCTTTCAAAGAAGGCCATGTCATCGTTGCACGTGTGTTGAGAAAGGAGGATAACTTAGTTTTTTTTCCTTCTAGAGTACAGAAAATAGAAGAAGTGTTTTCTTATTTTAGAAGTTTTCTTTCATTTATATATCTGCAACGCTCAAAGAATTCTTTTCGCATCTATTAACTACTGGTATATTTAACGCACGAGTTCACTTCAAAAAGAAATTAACGATGTCAACTTTGCCGGTACCGACCCTTCAACTTATCCAGAATCAGCTTGTTCGTTATATATCATTGACACTGCTCATCATTGGAACAATAGGTAACATTCTTAATTGTCTTGTTTTTACCCGTCGTTCACTTCGACGCAATTCTTGTTCAGTTTATTTTTTTGCAACGAGTATCGCTAACTTAATAGCACTCTATTTTGGTTGTCTGACACGTTTATTAATCACTTTTGGTATCTATTCAACGTCATCTCAATCACCTATCTATTGCAAAACTCGAACCTTTTTTACCTATATGCCTCTATCGGCATCCACATGGTTTATAGTAGCAGCATGTGCTGATCGATATGCATCAAGTTCATCAAGTGTTAGAATACGTTCATTTAGTCAAATCAAAGTTTCTCAGCGGATCATTTGTGGTATTCTCTTTTTGGTATGCTTCATTTGGACTCAAATGTTCGTTTGTTTTAATGGAAATTCTGAAGGTGTCAATTGTTATCCAACCACACCATTTTGTAATACTTTCAATAATTTTAATCTACTTATTTCTTACAGTCTTCTTCCACCAGTATGCATGTTTATTCTTGGTTGGATGACTATTCGGCATGTACGTCATCGACCGATTCATCATCCATCGAATTTAAAAGATCGTCAACTGACTATTATGCTTATTGTTCAAGTTTTGGGTGTCGCATTTTTATCATTACCAATTTCTATTCAAAAAATTTATGCAGAATTTACTATTAATCAAATGAAAAGTTCAGAACGTATTCAAATAGAAAATTTTCTTGCTACAATTGTTGTTCTTGTTGCTTTGACCAATACTTCTACATCCTTTTACATGTTTACACTAACAAGTCAAGTATTTCGAAAAGAATTAAAGCCTCTATTATTTTTCTCGAGTCGACGACGAGCAGGTGTTGAACCGAATCAAACAATATTACGAACGATGGAAAAAAATATTAGTAATTTCCACCAACAGGAAGCAAAAACTATAGATTTAAAAAAAAACTGAAAATACAACTGTCGAATGTGTATCAACGAACTATAAAAGTAATCATGCTCGATTGAACTATTTCATAGGCTTAACTCTGAATATCACGACTTGGTCTCGATTTAGACTAAGATTAAGATATATTTAATCTTGCAATGTACAATTTTCACAATCTTAGTGACATAAATCAATTCGAAGGTCATGTTGGTGTTAATCATAACAGAGTACATTAACATTTATAATGTTTTCAATTTGTCATTGATGTTTTCCTTCATATTTGACGCAAAGAAATACTTAAAAAGCTATTATAAAAAGTCTCCCATAGGTAGATTTCTCATTTTTATGACATAGTGAGCATCAAAGAAGTTTTTCCTTGCTAACGAATGTTTTCAATTACGATACATATTCATCGCTGATTAACTTCAGTAACAACTTCTGCATTTTTTTTGATGAGCTCCTAAATAGATTTTAAAGCTGCTTAGGAGATTTTGCAATCAAAAACTTCTTATGATATTGATGTCTATTCAATATTCAAATCTCCCAGAGCCGAGCTTAATTATCGACAAAATTAATTATATGATGAAACAGATTGGTTCGTTTTAAAAGTGCTTTTATCATAATCGATAGTTTCATTAAACTTGAAGCAAAGTGTTGATGAAAAATTGAAAATAATAGACATGTTAATTTGTTGTGTCTCAGATCAAAAGAAAATCTTCTTAGATCGATTTGAACCTGTACGAGTTTGAAAAAGCCCAAACCCCGAAAACTGATACTTCTCTGTCTTATTGCAAACATTCTCTAAATACAAGCAAACATATGAGACCCGAAGTTCTCAAGATAAAAGATGGAGAGGTTGAATGCTACTTATAGAGCTGTTCACAATAAAATATATATTAGCCGATTTTCAGATCGTGTTTGCACTCTTTGCTGAGACCGCATAATAAAATCCTCTGACATATGTTTTCGGTCTACTATAAATACTATTCAAAGTGAAGATAGCGACCAAAGAACTGAGAAAAGCATTTTCAGACGCGTTAATATGTCACGCCATATTTTAAAATAAACCCAGTTTATATTGTACTGCCCAAGCAATGCGATCTTCGAGATGTAGAACAATACCATATATATATATATATATATTCATTTGTGTGTATACTATGAAAAAACTACCAATAAAAAACTCGAATACATTCACGAGAAGCATTTTTATTTTTTTTTTCTAAATGTGATATAAATCTCCAAAACAATGTTCCTATGATTGAAAATTCATCAATGCATTGTGCTTTGACAAATATTGTAGTTATTACCGACAGCGAGAAAGCAGATGGCAATCTCTTCTCTTCAGCCTTATTGTTTCACAGTTTTCATACAAAATTCTACAGGCTGGGTAAGAATATTTTTCCAGGAGAGTAACACTATGGTTTCAAATATCATTCATAACAAATTTTATACCAAATTGAAGCGCGTCAAAAATGGGATTTATTGATACTAAATAGTAAAGGTTATGGTAACTTTTTAGTGTCAAATTCAAGAAATTCCTAGAATTTCACACCATTTTCACATTGAAAAATTACTTTCATGAGGCAGTTCAAACTAGATCTCATTTAAAAAGGAATATCATGAGGTACTATTTATATCTTATGGTTTGATGAATATGACCAATAATCAGTATAATGGCCATTAGCTTTCTTTACAGCACGAAGATGAGATGGATACGAACATGAAATGGTTTCAAATAACTCAATGTTTGTTTCCATGTTTGCCAAAACATCTGCAATATGCTTGTCAAAGTTTCTTTATCATAACGATTGTGTTCTGTCTCCTATAACATTTTCTTTCAGTATTATTTTTGAATATTGTTCCAATATTTCCAGACCAGGTGTCGAGTTCTTTGTGTTATCCATCATTTTAAATGAGATCTAGTCTGAACTGCCTCATAAAAGTAATTTTTCAATATGAAAATGGTGTCGAATTCTATGAATTTCTTGATTTTGGCACTAAAAAGTTGCCATAACCTTTACTATTTAGCATCGATAAATCTCAGTTTTGACGCGCTTTAATTTGGTATAAAATTTGTTATGGATGCTATTTGAAACCATAGCGTTACCGTTCTGGAAAAATACTTTTATCCACCCTGTACAGTTTCAACCACAAGTTCAGAAATGATCAATTGTAATTTACAAAATATGCCGACCTATAAACTGATTATTCATTCAAATCATCAAGTCACAGAATCAAATTCAATATGAACATTTATTTTAATCTTTTCAAGTGATATTATGAATAGAGAGTTCGTTGTACGAAGACTAACTCTACTCGACCTGGATAATTGAGGATTTGAGAATATGTTTGTCTATTGTAGTTGATTTGAATCATATATAATTATATATAAATGTATATGATAGCACTTATTTTATTCATTATTTGAATAGAACATGGTAGAATGGCTGTTATTCATCATTCGAAAAGAATGAGACATAAAGAAAAAAAAACGAGTCTGAACTGAGACTCGAACTCAAGTAATATCACAAATGATAATTCGCCAGGTGCTTTTACAAACTAAGCTATCAAGGTACAGTCTAAACTCAAATTCAAATTCCATGCGAACATTTATTTTAATCTTTTCAAGTAGAGACTAAAAGCCGTTCTACTATCTTTTATTCGAATAATAAATAGAAAAGTCCTGTCATATACGTTTATATATAGCCTTCAAGAATTTATGAAGAATTTGTTTAAGCACAAAAATTGATTATTATGCGGTTTATTTTTACACTGTGAATGGTTCTACGTAAAAGAGGCAAAATAATCACCTCTTTAGTTTGTGGTTTAACCAAAATTTATTATTTTCAAACAATAATAACATTCTGGCTCCGAATTTTCTCTTGAATTTATACTATATTGTCTGTTTATATCAGTGGCCAATGTTGAATTTTATTGTCGCAATATCACCATTAGCGACAACATGAGCTTTTTGGCGGATACATGACATTAAAAGATTTGTTGAAGCCTATCTGAATCCATTGTTGGCAGAATCTTGCACGCACGTTGGGGCTACTATTCTTTCGATACTATTTGACTATTCAAATCAATACACGTATCGGTAGTGCATTAATCAGAGCTTCATTGAAAAAAAAGTATGCTCTTAGGCAGTAATTCATATCAACTTTGCGTTGAAATAGTTTGTCTTTTCGTTCGAAAAAAGCATGCGTAAGTAATTTTGTTCTATTCAAATGCGATGAATAATCACCAGTGTGTTCAAAAATGATGGCCGCTAGTTAAATAGCATAAACTGGATCAATAAATAATACGAATTTCTAAGGTAAACTTCAATAGTCTTTTATATGTACCCCTACTTGCTCTGTATGACTTGAAAGCAAAGAACAAATTGGCATTTCATCAGAATATTGATCAACTCAGAGTAACGGTTATTGTCGTGCCATGTAACTATAAGGAATATGATACAATGCCATTTACTTCACAATATATTTAAAATAAGAATATATGCAGCTGACATTCGTTTTGTGAAAATTACTGAGTGGTTATCATTAATCTCACTACATACACGACTGTCGTGCATGGTCTTGCATTCTTCTCGTGTGTGAAGGCAATAGACGACAACGATGATCATTGGTGTTCTTCCATAATAAAACACACTCATTTATGAAATTCGAATGTTCATCTGAGAGAGTGAGTCTCGTTTTTGAATTAACTTAAGAAATGAAACCTCTAAAATTTGTAAAAGAAAAAAATATATTTCGCTTTGTTAGAATTTGATTGCTGTCTGAATCTTGTCGCCAATTTGAGTACAGATCGATGTTTACGGCTACAAGTTTTCTAGCTAAAAGAATTCGGAAATGAGAGTTATGGTAAAAGGCGTTATACTGCAGGCTTCAGTTTCTGTCTCTGAACAGTAGACCAAGACTTTTCATGCAAAATCGAATATTTGAACAAGCGAATGCTATGTTGTTTGACGAACGGCACTTTAGTCGACAGACTTTTCGTCGAAGTAACTTTGTCGAAAAATTTTTGTTGAGTTTTTTTTTCAGAAAAGCATTTCATTGACAGAATGTTTCATCGAAAAGTATTTCGTCGACACAGCATATCAAAGAAAAGGGTGTGAGTGGGTGTAGGTGTGAGTGAGTGTGAACGCGGGTGTGCGGGTGAGGGTGTGGATGTGGGTGTTAGTGTAGGTGTGCGTGTGTTGTGTATGTGGGTGTGAGTGTGAGTGTGAGTAAAAATGCATTCCCACCTATACGCACACCGACACCGACACCGACATCCCACACCCACATCCCACACCCACATCCACATCCCACACCGACACCCACATCCCACACCGACACCCACGCCAACACCCCACACCCATACCCTTTTTCTGATATGCTGTGCCGACGAAGTGTCGTGTCGCGAAAATTCTTCGACCAACAACATACTTACCTGAATAAGCTGTCTTGGAGAAGAAATATCAATTTTTTCGAGAGTCTACCCGAGAAAGTTGACTTCAATCTAAATTGTCTTACTAATACAACAACGTTTCACTGTTTGTTACAGAAAGTCAGGAAAACAGATGATTTGAAGCCACGAATCCCTATGTTTCTGCACAGTACTTGTATTTCTTTCTCATAATTTATCAAAATTTCTGATTTATAATTTTGGCAGGGCAATTTTCTGTAGAGATGAAGGTGCTGACTACTTAGAATATCTCATAAATAGACTGTGATTCTGAGGCTTGGACAAGCGTGTACGTTTTTCGAAATGGACACCCTCAATAAATTGAATACTTACCTGCTTTTATACATATGATACTGCTTCGAACAAAGAGAACGTTCACTACAGGAAAAATGCAACGGGACAAAATTCCATCGAAAAACAGAATTCTCGAACTTTGACTTTACTCCGTTGCCTCCAATTTTCATTACAAGTGAGTCATAACTGCTTAGCTAATAATTTGTCCGTTTTGTTCGATAGGAACAATAAAAGTTCAATGAAAATAGTATCAACTTCAATAGAATCCAAGTGGAGAAAGCCGCCGAAAAGTATTTCAAAATACTATATTGTCCTGATGCACCTTTTTATTCTATTCTTTTTCCTTTTTGTATTCAATTTCTTCTTCATCTTTTCAAGGTCTCATTTTTATGTATCTGATCCTATTTTTATTGCCGACACAGCATTTAAGCCACCATCAAAATTGACATTACTGCATATCAATGGGACGATCAAATATATTAGTCAAATCAAAGAAATTTATATTATTAACTTGCCCAATCGCCCTGAGCGGCGAACAAGTATGATTGCTCTCATGCAAACACTTCATCTTGATGCTTTTATAGTACCTGCCTACACGATACATTCTTCTGAAGTAATTTCTCATGATAATCTAGTGCGTAATGGGAAAATTACCTTAGCTGAACTTGCTTGCTGGGCAAGTCATATGCAAATTTGGTCAGCGATCTCTACTTCCGAAAGTAACGACAGTTGGTCACTCGTGCTCGAAGATGATATTAATCTCGAAATATTCACATCAGAAGTACTTCAGTCGTTCCCTCGAGACCTATGGAATAAACCAGATTTAATCTATCTCGGTTCTTGTTACAATATTCCTGGTTCAATGATCTATGAGGGAGCGTACGGTTATCGCATACATCAAGCACTTAATCCAAGTTGTACACATGCGTATGGAATCCAATCACGTGCTGCTGCCAAACTCCTTCGTCTACTATCTTCACCACGAAAAGCAGTTGATGATGAAATTGTTCTTCTGTCAAATAATCAAACACTATTGGTATTCAGCATCCATCCGCCATTAGCATTACAAAGATTGGTTACCACTTCAAATCCGTCCGATGTGAATCCAGCAAAACTCTCGTGGCTGTTTCAAGCCAAAGCATCGGTTAATTACTTGCTACAAAAGTGGCGAGGCGTGGAAGTAGTGAGTAAATTAAAAGACTCGGCATTAGCCAGAGCCAACATTATTAAAGCTGCAGAATGGAGAGAGAAGAATGAACATGGGATTTGGAAGAATGAAAATAGGACTAATTCTGCTTGTACTCGGTGTTAAATCCAGAGATTGAAGTATATCGATCGCGTACGATGTGTATTAAACTTTTTAGTTCAGACACAAATTTTAAAAGTCTTGTTAAATCGATGTTGTTTTAGTCGATTGTTATACGACGATACAAGTTGGAGGTTATTTGGGTCATTGCATGCTGGTATGAAAACTTGTGATACAACTTGAATGACTGAAAAATGCCCATCAAATAATTCTTTGACTTCTTTCAGGTTAATTGACGGTTAAAAGCTATGCCGCTCAATGTTTTCGAAGTTATTTTCTCGAATATTTGATATTACTCGACGATCATCGAATAAAGTTTCGATTGAGGAGTAGATTATTGAACTTGATAGTCAATAAGTGATTCTTCATTGCTTACAATGTCGGGTTTCCAGTAAGAAATCTTCAAAATAGGACCGGCTTCGACGTAAATCGTGCATTAAGATACGACTGTATGTCAGTGTGGGCCGGGGCGAGCGAGATGTCTAGATGATCTCTTCATCCATATGCATGTCCACACCCACATCTCACATACACAAAAGCGAGATATGCATTACTTATACTGAACTGTAGATTGATTCTAATGATGGGCTAAAAATTAACTCGATAGCTAACCTAGGGAACTACTATTTGAAGACGATAGATCGAGCACAAAATTAATATATGAAGAGGAAAGAACGAGAAAGTAATCGAAGAACAGAAAAAAATAATTTTTTCTTTGTCAGATGGACGGAAATACAGGACAGAGGGAAAGAAAATTGTTTCGAATATAGACGAATGATAATCTATATTTCTATCTGGTAAAGAGAAAAGAAGATAAAATAAGAAATAACAAATTATTGAAGCTCGATAAAACAACTCAACTTAAACTTCTTTTTTTTACAATTACAAGCAATAAAAAAACTAACTTAATTCTCTTCTTGAGTCATGTATTTTACTTATACTTATATTTTTACTTCCAAAGAAGAGGAAATGAAAAGACTTTTCATATCGTATTATTCAAGAGAAGACAAATAATCTAAATCTGGAATATGATATCTTAACATACGGTGCTATTATTAGTAGTTTCTGATTATAATATCAAGACTTCAACGTCACTATTATGCGTTTGCTCGTTAATGCAGTACGCACTGTATAAACAAATCAGTTTTGACTAGAGGATGTGAATCTCAGTGTGAGACCTGATCTATAGGCAAAGAGAGAAGGTTTATACCAACACCCACACACACTCTGTCATCAAAGAACTAGGCGATACTTTGCCTGGTGTAGCAGTTGAAATTCTTCAGAATACTGTGATGAATGCTGGTTGTACATTAGTACCAGTGAGCAGTTGTTCGGCTCGAGATGAATTTTGTCGACAAAAAACGATCGATCAATGTGATATCTTGTGTGCATTACCTGATAGCAAAGCTCTCGATGAATAAGATCAAGTTGAATGAGATATTTCAACAAAAACATGAAATCGAAGTAAAAAGAATTTTTCAGATGATATGAATCATTCACCACGGATTGAGACAAATGTCACATGATACATTATGTCGAATGCCAATGAATTGTATTGTACAGGGATGTGGAAAGATGTTCAACTTATATAAAGGATTTAATGGTTGTTTATCAATAATAACTTGAGTTTATCTTCAGAAGAAAAATTCTCAAAAAATTGCTATCATTCTTCTATTTCGCTAGATTTCAGGTCAATTTCTGGCTCTCTGTCTCTATTTCAAGATGCTACGTTGCTGCTGTTATTTCGATATAGATCAATGTATAACAACGAGTAGATGTAGCTGAAAGGTCAATCCGAATCGTTTGTTAAAATGATAATCTCAAAGTATATTTTTACACAAAAAAACTTCGTTTTTCAGAGCAAAATAAAATGTTCTTGCTTAGAACTGCGACGAAATGGCGCCGATGGCCATCCATTTCAATATGTAAACGATTGAGTAACACCATTATTTGAATGAGTTCCGCCTTTAGTGATCATTTGTTTCTACAAATTCCTAATGATAAATCGAATTCGATTACTCTTCACCTTCCTTATGCCTTTCTAGCATCAAGCTACGATCTTATGGATCCGATCCGAGCAGCAACTTGGCAATATCGAAGTCATCCGGCACGATATTTCTGGACTGGCATTTTCGGTCAACATATTGTCTTCGATCTTCCTTCAAAAAGCGTACTCCACTTGTATAGTACTTAATTAGATCACGTTCTTCACTTTTGAGTTTTAGTAACGCTTGCTCATCATGGACTACGTGGTACGCAACGAAAACATCACGAGCCCTTTTGCTGGTAATGAGCAACGATCAGCTGATTATATGAGCGCATAGGTGACTCACATGAGTTTTCTCTTTTTCAATAGTCTTTACAATCAATCTAGATAGCGGTTATCCGATTATGACTCATTAGGTTGTATCTGATCCACAAGTTCATGAATTTCTATATAACTGTCATACTTTAGAAAAAAAAACGGCTTCTGGAATATTTTTTATGAAACCGGTCATAAGATTCAACGAGACTGGTGGAATAAGTATTCGATTGATTGATTTCGGTCTATTATACGAACTTTGTTTAGCATTCGATAGTACCATTGAAATAACTGTAAATATTTTTACTCTATAAGTCATGGATGCTATACGCCTTTTTTAACTATGGATTCACTCTTAACTCCAAGAGCATAGATTCAATACTCGACAACACATTGAGAATGGATTTAATTTGGATGAATGGGGAAAAGATGATGATATTTGTCTTTTATCTATGCAGAACATGTACGAGAATACGATTGAGACAACAATAAGGTAGTCTTTCATCAATACGAAACGATTAAACCATACCTTAGTAACGATCAAGAAAAGATGGATTGCTGGATCGAAATATTTTTTCCAACACGTTGGCTGCAATCTTGTTCCATTATTTAAATTCTAGTATTTTCCTGTTTCACACCCTACTGTCAATGCTCGTCAAGATCTAGATATTGCAGATATCACTGATCAATTCATTGACACGGTACCAGAACGTTTATCGAATCTAAGGCTTTTTCCATGTTGGACACAAAGAGAGATGTTATCAAATGAATCAATTGTTAGAATAGAACCAAACACTTATTGCATATATTTCTTTAACAATAAGGAAAAACGCGCAATGCCAATTTTTGACAAAGAATGCGTTAGGCTTCGAGTGAGTTCGATCTAGAAAAGATCGAATCTCGACTTAACATACGCTACGTCGAGTTTTTATAGATGTAGGTGTGATAGAGAATTTTCTTTTCTTCAACAATCCCAAACACTCACATCTATCAATATAGATCAGTTACACACAGCATTACTCTAGTACTCAATACTTATTTACTCTGACGATTTACGACTACTCATGGATTTCTTTTCTAAATCACAGATTGAAATTATCTTTGGTTAAAATTCGTTCAGATCATTAGACCGTTGTTGTAAGAAAATTTCTTGAACTTTTCACTATGTTTGGGTCTTTACTGCTGCTTTGATTATACGATGATTATTGGTTTTATTGAAAGAATAAAGAGGCAAAAGCGTACTCATGAATTTTGCGATAGTATGATGCGATATATAATGTTATTCAAGCGTTTATACTCGTGGTGCATAATGTATTTGATGAATTTTGTTGATTTGTTAGAGTTTATTTGCCCACTGCAGTCTTAATTGCTGTTATGGCGCATTGTGGCATACCTAGCAAGCCACCAGCAATGTTGCTGCTATCAGAACTGAGCGTAAATTGAAAATTAACAATGCTGACACTAAACGAAGCCGTGTATCCAGTGGGATAGATTATTGATGCGTAAAGCAAAGTTTGAAAGAAACATTGGCCAGTTATGCTCGATTGAATGGAGAGCATGGTCGGGGACGAACGTGCCAGCACAATTTGACCTATTGGGCAACAGCAAATCCATGTGTTGCAACCTGGATTAGTTGTGTATGTACCTTCCCAAACTGGCATTGCAATTGTTGTCACTAGGCAAAGGAAAAGTTGCGACTTTCCGAGTAAATATACGATCACGTTTAATTAAGAGAAAGAATGCGCTTGGTGAGTAAAGAAACGGATTATTTACGCACTTTCATGGAATACGCTACAGAAAAAGAAATGTTGATCGACATCTTTCAGTAGCAAAAAGAGGAGCCTCAATCTGCTCATGCTGAAAATTGCCGCTCATTGACAATAATTGTCTCTGGTGTCCAGTTTTTCATCCTCTTTTTAAAACCGTTTTGCTTCTGCAGTACCTAGTCTGCGTAATTTTTTTTTACCTTCTAAGGTAGTGTGTCAGCAGAAAGAGCATTCAAGAATAGACTATATTCCATTTCGATATAAAAGAAGGATGGGTGTTTTCGAAATAACTTTTGATAGAAACAAGATGGTCGTTTACGGTATTCCATGTCTAATGGATGAGGTGAAACTTGTCGAATCATATAGACCAGATTTTTGTGACAACGTTTCTCGGGATCTGGCATCAAGTTTATTAAAAAGAAAGCATAGCGTAATGTAAAAGTTTTCAAATATTAATTTTTAGAAGTGTACTAGAAGCATTAACTGAAGATCCGTAAATTATGTTAGTCCAATGTTGCGGCATTCAGTCAATCATGGGTTACAAACATTTTGCTTCGTATTATCGGCAGATTTTTCAGAAAAAAATTGTCATTTTTGAGGAACTGACATATTTTCGAAGAAAATAGCTAGTGTAAGTTTTAAGTTCAAGTTTCGTGGCTCCCCCCCCCCCCCGCACCCCCTCCATTACAGACACTTTGTAATCGAAACCACTATTGCAAACATTCTCCGCCTCATTACAAACGTTAGCAATGGATAACAGCAGGTATCAGATTTTCTAGTTTTTTGCAAAATTGTGAACATCATTGTTTGTGAGTAGATTAATGTATATAATAGAGCGTAAAATCTGCCGTAGATATCATGGATATGTAAAATAGACTTATTTGCCGATTAATTCAATGATTATAATAATGAGAAAATTAAACTAAAAAAACACGAATTAGTAAAAACGAAAAGTAATGAGCAAATATCAATAATGCAAACAAAAATAGGGTGCGCAAAAAAAAGCAATTTCTTTTTGAAACACAGAGAAATAATTNCTCGATCAGAGTAGCTTGTATAAAAAATTTCAGAATTTTTGGACATTGTATCTTCAAGGTATCAATCTTTCAAAGTATCCATGTTATCTATAGAAAAGTGCCTATATTTTCAAAAATTGATACCTTGGAGATGCAATGTCCAAAAATTCTGAAATTTTTTATACAAGCTACTCTGATCGAGGCCTTCATTTGGGCAATGTTTCAGGTCGAAATTCGGAAATATGATTTTGCTGTAGATCTGGGGTCCAGCAGGAAAAATCCACTAAAAATTCGATATCTCTGTCAAATCTCAATATGGGCACGAATCCTTTGGAGGTTTCTCTAATCTAGTGGTTCCATACCTAATGGGCAACATATGAGCTCAAAAGCTTTTCTCGATAATTTAAATGGAAAAAGAATTAAGATCAGTCTTAATGAATCGTATCTATTTCTCTTCTAAATTTCATTACTTTGAAAAAGAAGAACTTTCTGTGTTGACCCATTCTTCATTCTTTAATGATTTGTTCGATTATCTATCATATTAATTTCATCGAAGTTCATTAACTCTTCCTAAGATTGTAATCATTCGATCATGACCATTCGAATCAAGAAAAATTATTTGCTAGCCGTTTGAGATCATAATTCAATAATAGTTATGTGAGTACCATCCGAATAATCATCATGCTAGTACAGAGGACTGAGAGACAGCAATTTCTAGTTAAATTATCTGATATTTTCACTTAAACAAAGAGCATAGACTAGACTCTACTTGCATGTTAAAACATCAAGAAATAGTCATGTACTTGATACCAGGTAACGAAAGATTGAGTAGACAATCTTTTTTTTTCAGGCTAAAAGTTCGGAGCAAAGATAGGCGCCATTCGTCGTAATTTTTGCTGCATTTAAACAATCAGAGTAACCTCATGCTTCTGATTTAAATTCTTATTGTAGTATGCACATACAATTCTTCAGAACTCCAACATCTGTAGTAACTGAGATAAGAGAAATGAGACGCTTTTGTCTATTAATGTATATAGGATAGAAATTTGCACATTCTACATCCACACCCAGATCGACAGACCGTCACAAACACATTAGAAATGGCTCATTATAAACATCTTAGCAATACTCGCTCTCCTTCATCACAGGTCATGACAGACATCATTGACATATGAACACAGACCATAAAAAAAGAATACTTCTACTTTTCGGCTGCCTTGCCACAGATTCAATAGTCCGGCATGTTCCCTATAACTATGACTAGCTATAGCTCTAGATAGAGTGTCAGTCTGTCGCACAGTTCTTGCTTTCAATATCTTGCATTTGCTGTACATACTAACTAAACACAATAGCAGGTGTATGTGTCACCACATAGCCGCTTAGCTATAGCCGCACCAGATCGTAGCAACTGCTTTAGCAACATTCGCTCACATCATTCTTATTGCGTTGCAAAAGAATTAAATAAAAGGATCATGAGACAACTTTTATTTTTTGGTTTATTAATATTATTTTATTTTTAATTTTATTTTTAAAGTTTTCAATATTTATTTATTGATTCTGTATTTCATCAATCATCACAAATGCCTATATTTAAAGCTTCAATTGATTTAACATCACGTTTTCTTGTTCTGTCTGATATAAATCGAAATGTAAAAAATAAAGAAAAAGTTTAATATAAATTAAAGAATTTGATTTATTTAGTCAATGTATGTATTAACTATATATCAAGATGCTGAAAATAATCGAGCACATTTTTCATCAATAAATGCTTTCAATTCGATGACTAGTCCATCATTAAGTTTTGCTATTACAGCGGCTGATCAAATCAATCGTAACATTATTTTTTGTTTTTGTATTCAATTTCATGACAAAAATTTTCATTTAATTTTTTTTTAATATTTAGGTGAACATTCTGATTTTGTTTCTTATGGTGTTAGAATGTACAGTATTCATACAAAGTATGATCAACAAAAACAAAAAAAAATTTTTTCTTCAATACAAAAATTTTCTTTAATATTAGATTTTTTCAAGAACTTTTACTCGTTTTTAAAACGAATCGTTTTATGACAATAAATCCCGTATATTTTGAACAACAAAATCATTCAATACAAGATAATCTTATTGATGGTAGAACAAAAAAGTTATTTTTTTTTTCTTAAAATTACAAATTCTTTTATTAGATTTTCATTTTGAACCATATATGTCATATATACATAATGGAGATTTATCATTACCTTCAACAACTATAAATCGTATAGAACCTGCTGTTAATGATTTTATTACTCTTCCACCGTATGATAATTATATTCTAATAAATTTTATCACAATTATTTCTATTTTAGATATAGTATTGATGATTTACTTACACCAAATAGTTCTTTAACAAATGTAACCGGTTTACCAAATGTTGATACAACACGTTCATTACTTGCAAGTCATGATGGATTAACAACAAATGTGAATAATACAACAAATACAATTTCATCACCAACAACAGTCAATAATAAAATATCAACAATTAATCCTCTTCATGGTCTTTTACTTGGTAATACAACAGCATTTGATGCTGTAACTATTCGACAACTTCAACAACAAGAACATCATACACATGTTTCACCATCACAACAACAACAAATTGTTGCAACTGTTTCTACTAGTCCAACTAGTCTAATCAATGATCGATTTAAATCAAAAGTAACTACAGATAAAGATCCATCATCATCATCATTAATTAGAAATGGTAAGATTGTAATTGTTGAATCCTTTACTCGCTTTATAACAATTCTAGAAGAGCAACTATTTCAACAATCATTCGAATAGAATATTGATGCATTCGATATATTGATCAAGTGTATTCTAGTAACCATTTAGGAGAGAGAAGTTAAAAGTCGATTTTTCAAAGAGTCCACAGCTTTTTGTCGCAAAATCCAGGAAAAATGTTCCAGAGAGAATCTTATAGTAATGATTGAGACGATCATAGATTAAAAACGTGTCATCATTTTATCGATGAAATTTTATTTTGTGGGATGATTTTCAAATGTTAAATATAAATAAATATATATAAGAAAAACATATTTAGGCATGTCACCATCACCATATGATCTAGATGATAAAGAAGTTGCTGAAAGTATGTCATGTACAACAAATTATCCTCTTCAATATGAAGCCTGTATGTTATTCTTTCTTTTTTTGTTTTTATAAATTCATTGCTTATTTCATAATTTTATTAAATCATTGTCTTAGTACCACATGATGATAATGATGATGTTGATACCGTATTTATGCCAATAAAAACAAATGATAATGATGAACCAGTATGAATTTTAGAAAAAAAAATCAATACATATGATATAGTTTTTATTAGATTAATGGCAATCAAGATCCACTTTTATCACCACCGAAATATGGTGATAATCCACGTTGGTCTAAAAAAAGTCCAATGAAGTAAAAAAAAAAAACATAAAAAAACCTATCTTCTTTTTCATTATTAATATGTCTTTTTCAAGAGGATTAAATACATCTGGTCGTCAAGATATCGGTGATTTTAGTGATCCAACTGAAACAAGGTTAATTTCATATAAACAATATAATTAATTATTCAATATTTGTCTATTTATAGTGATAAAGATGATGATTCAACAGCTGATGAAGAAGAACTTCCACATACACGTATAAAACGACGTGGTGGACGTTCACCAAATAGTTCTCAAATAATATTAAATACTGATGTGAAAAAAATAATAATACATACGATTTTTTTTTTCTATAATTAAGTTTTGTTTTTAATTTTAGTCATTACATGAAGTTCGTCAATTAACTCGTTTATTAAATGAATTTCGTTCACATAAAACAAATATACCATCGGAATCTCTTCAACATATGACATCACATTCAGATTATGAAAAAAAACTTGAACAATGTTGTCTACGTCTTGAACAATTATCAAGTAAAGTTGATAGAATAATTAATCTCGAACAATCGGGTAAATATATCTATATATCTATCTATATATACATATATATTCTGGATTATTCATTGATTTTAATCATATGATTATCTCACCCTTTTCAATTTATCAAAAACATTTAATTGTCTGTTAGTAAAAGACATACGTAGCAATAACGAAATCAATTTCATCAACTAAGCTACACAGAATCTTTCAAAAGTCTATATTAAAGATTCATTCAATATATTTTTGAATAAAATGTCTGTATCTATATCGAAATCAAAAATTAAAATAATTTCATTCACGACTAACATTCAATCAATCATCAGTGTAAAACGAAAACTAGAAGTCGAATTTAAAAAATAAATATGCTTATTGAAAGTTGCAGTAGGATCATTTTTCAACAGTTTTGTGAAATTAGAATTATCGAAAATTAATCACATTCAGAAAGACATCGAGTAATTTTTGAAAAGTAAATGATATGTATGAAAATGAGACATTGACTTTTTCTTTAGTAATAATTCTACGTCTTTCTTAATGCAATCAATTTTCGACAGTTATTTTCGTTTTACATTGATGATTGATTCAAATATAACCATAAATGATAATTAACAAAATCATTTCTATGTAAAACTAAAGAACTGACAAAAATGCTTTTGTTAAATTTAGAGATGAAAAGTTTGTATTTATATAGATTTTTTAATATGAATTTATTTTTAGGTATTGTTTCTCGACCAAGTCGACCAAGTCCAAATGCAGCACCTGTACAAGTCCTAACAACTAACGAATCACAAGCAACATTATCCGATATACATTATGATCGTTTAGAAGCTATGCTTATTGAAAAAATTCAAACATATGTACAAGGCGGTATGACACAACTTTGACTTTATGAAACACGATCTAAAAAGAGTATTGACGTATAGAGCAAGATTTTCGAACCATTCTCTTTCCTTCATAGATATGATAGAAACATAACGAAGGAATATTTTTATTTGTGCGGTCACTTTTCATTTGACCATGATGAATAATAAAAATGACTGTTTAGTTTTGCAGTCTTCGCTTATCGAGATATGAGGATAGGGTTGGTGAGAAACCAGGATAATTGAATTTCGAGAAGAAATTTTCATTTACAGATAGATCTTGTAGTCAGTAGAAATATTCCAAAGTTTAGGCCAGAACAAATATATTCTTGCTATGATATTTATATTTTAAAGAAACATCTATTTTGTGCTATACTTCAAAAGAATAACGTTTCTATGAAAAGCAGATATCTCAATACAAAATACGTATGTTTGACCTTAAACTTCAGGATATGTCTAGTGACACTATAAGATCTATCTGTGAACAAAATTTCAACTTGAATTTCAATCATCCAGGTTTTCAGCAAGCGTATGGCTTATAGGGTAAAAGTCTTGGAAAACTAAACCAAAACAAACTTCTGTGCAATTTACATAGATTTTCAAAGAAAATAGTACGTGTAAGTTTTACTCAGACAAAAATAAGAAATTTGTATAGCAAACAACATTGATTGAAATTTCGAGATCAAAAAAAGGAAGTAAGCAAAGTGAAGAGTGCAGAATTACGATACTAATAGTGAGACAATATTTAATGACCACAAATAAATGTGAGTTCTACGTTTTAGTTCAACGAGATTGTACTAACGAGCTTTTTTATTATTCATCATGACCGATCGAGTAGCAATAATCTCAAACTTGAAGCGATTAGGCAATCAGGAGCATTCCTTCGTAAGCTACTCACGTATGATGACAAGCATAGCATTCGAAACTGAAGTCTTGTGAAACACAAATAAATTTAAAATACTTAACCAGTAGTAATTTACAAACTGAAACATATGTTTATGAATTCTATCATTCATAATGTAAGAAACTTTATCATGTTTCACATTTTAATTCGACCTAAATTGCAATAACAACTTTTTTTTTTTCTTCATTGTAGCAATGAAATCTGTATTCGAACCATATAGAGATATGAAAGATAATTTACATAAAGATCTTGCAGCTAAATTATTAGCAACTGATACAGTTATAAAACAAACAATTACACAAATATTTCGTTCAAAAGTTTGATTGATAATTTTTATTTTTTAATTATTTATTATTTTGTTTTTCTTCTTAGACAATGATCGATTCTTTAAGTCATACAATATCAAATGCAATTCAATCAATAATGATAACATCTTATCGTGATACATTTAATCAAATAGTAATACCATCATTTGAAAAAGCTGCAACAAATATGTTTCAACAAACAAATGATGTATTTAAACGTGGTACAAAAGAATGTATGTAGAATATTCTTCTTGTTTTTTTTTTTTTTTATTATTTTATTTAAATAAGAAAATAAATAATTTAAATATAGATTTACAAGAAATGATTGATTATGGTCGACAACAACAACGTTCATTAATTCAACAACGTGAACAAATGATGAATGAAATTCGTAAAGAATCAACACAATTAAATAAAGAATTTGAAAAGAAAAATCAAGACTTAGTAAATACACTTAAAAATGATATTACTCAATATATGACAACAAATTTAACATCTATGTAAGAATAAAAAAGAGACTTTTGATCTTATAATATTCATAAATATAAACATTAAGGGAAAATCATTATGTAATAAAGAATTATTTTATTCGATCTACGTTTAAGTAGAGTCTCTCGGATGTTAAATTTACAAATCTGATGCCTGTTAATGCATAATTTTTAAAGGATGTAGACTAAGAAAAAGTTCAAAACACATCCACACGACCGCTGTATCTCCAAGACTATTCTCATCTTTATCGAATAAAATTTGATGAAAGTCTTTTTTTGCTCGAACAGTTGTCTTCTTATTTAAGATACTTTAGCTGTAGTAAAAAGTTTAGGTTGATCGGTTGTACCTTCTTGGAGAATCAAAAATAGTCAAAAAATAGATTGCTACTCTTAAATCATTTCGCTCTTACAAACATTCTATAACAGTAAGAACAAATAACTTCCTATTTTTATGTTTATAGTCTAAACATGCTACAAGTATTTTATGAATTTTCTTTTCGTTCGAAGTAAATAAGTAATTGAAATCCCAAGATCAAGACTACGAGAAAAAAGTTGTCCGAATCGGAACTAAAGATTATAGTTAAATATTCTATAGATTTAAACGAATTATCTTATAAATCATATCAATGAGAACATTATTCAAGAGCGATAACCTAAAAAAGTGCTGATAATCGTCTAATTAAATCAAAAACTTGGTATTGAAGGAATTTTTTTATATATAATTCACATCAATTCTGGAATATTTTTTTGCTACACCGAGCCCAAAAAACTTGATCCTGCACATTTCTAGTCTAGAGTAGTGATTCAATACTCTTCAAAGCATCACCATGTCCGCTATACTCTCAAAATAAAATATTATATATACTAATCAATAACAGTCCTCATCTTCATATTGAACTCATCTGTAGATGATTACAACACACGAGTATTCAATGAAATTTTTGAAAAAAATTCTCCTTTTTTTCTTTTATTTAAATAGAATTCGAGAAACAACACGATCCATATTACATGATGAAACAACTGTAGTCTTTCGTGAATTATTAACTGCACAAAAAACTGATATAAATAATTTACTTCGACAATCTCTTACTTCAAAGCCAACAATAAGTCGAACAACAACTCCAACACCTGCTGTTCCTGCAATTTTACCATCATCAACTATAACAAGTACAAGTTCAACATCAGATGTTAAACAACAACATGTATTAAAACTTGCTCGATTTAGTCAATTAAATCAAGCATTTGAATTTGCATTATCAGCATCGGATTTAAATCTTGTTTTATATTTATGTGAAAATGTTCGTCCAACAGAACTATTTTCAATTCAACCATGTCCATTACAAACTCCTGTTCTTCTTTCTTTAATTCAACAACTTGCAGCTGATTTAAATACACATCAAGAATTAAAATATAGGTAAAATTCTTTTCATGTTTGTCTATTTTCGTAATTTTTCTTTTATAAGTTATTTACATGAAGCATTAGTTTGTATTGATTTACCACATCCAAGTGTACGGGATTATTTACAAACTGTTTTAATTGATCTTTGTAAAAAATTAAATACATATATTCAAGCAAATCCATCAACAACAATGGCTAAACGTTTTCAATTATTACTTATGGCAAGTCAAAGTTTAGTACAAAAAATTGTTCAACAACGAGCAACACCGATAATTCAAACATCATCATCATCATCAAAATAGCTTTTCTTTTCTTTGTGATTCTTTAATAGGAAACAATCTTTTTTTTGTGTTGTTTGTTTGTTTGCTGTGTATGAAACGCAAAACTTTTTTTTTTGATCTTTTCTTTTATAAAAGAACAAGACCATTGTATTGATTATTCGAAAGTTTTTTTTTTGTATTAGTTTCCTTTTTTTGTTTATATAAAACTAAAAATAGATTTTCATCGGATATATTAATTCTGATAAATTGTTTTCTTTTTTAAGTATTCAATGTCCGAAAGTGATGAACCATATCTAACACATGACATCGATTGGCCAATGCTCGATAAAGCTCGATTTATTCCATTAAATCTTGTATCAACATTTATTGTTCGTTCAGTTTTATATCCAATTACACTTGTTCGTACTCGTTTACAAGTACAAGTAAAATCATCTATATATAGAGGTACATGGCATGCATTATGTACAACAGTTCGTTATGAAGGTTTTCGTGCACTGTACAAAGGTTTTCTTGTTTATAATTGTCAATTAGTACCTGGTTTAATTTATATAACAACATTTGAAGCAACACGTGCTCGTGCTAATATTTTAACTAAAAATGAATATTTACGTGCTGGTATTGGTGGTACTATAGGTTCATTATGTTCACAAATACTTGCATGTCCTATTGATATTGTATCTCAACATATGCAATTAGTTGGATTAACAGCATCTGGAAAAAAAACTCGTCTTACAGATGATATATCATTGAAATCGGATACGAAAATATCTAATAAATCATCAGTAAAATCTCTTCATCATAGACATATTCCTCGTATACATGTGCCTAAAGAAATTCGTACTAGTAATTATTTAATATTTAAACATATATGTAAAACATTATTATATGAAAAACAAACAGATAAAGATATAAAATCACAAATTAGTTTTAAAGGTTTTTATCGTGGTTATTTAATTTCAACATTTTTATTTAGTTTAACAAGTGCAATTTGGTGGCCATCGTATTATTTTTATCAAAGACAAATGCTTAATATTGAAATAATGTTTGGTAAGATGAATAATTCTCTTTTTTTTTTTTTTGTCTTTCATATTTTTGCTAAAAGACAAAAGACAAAAAACAAACTTTTCTTTTTTTTGTTTTTCAGCAAATCATATATCAGTACCATTACTTGTTATTCAATGTATTGCTGGTCCTTTATCATCATTTACATCGACTATACTTACAAATCCAATTGATATATGTCGTACTCGTATACAAGTTGAACAAAACCGACGACGAGTAACACAAATCATGTATGAATTATGGCAAGAAGAACGTTTTAATATTTTTACAAAAGGTTTAACAGCTCGTCTATCACATTCCTGTATTTATTCATTATTGATTATATTTGGTTACGAAACTGTTAAACGAGTTTCATTAAAACAAGAATATCAAGGACATGTAAGATGGTAAAAAGAAGAAGAATTTTGTGATTAATATGATTTTCTATTAGTGTTTTGATATTGATTAAGCTCATTGTGTTTTTTTTTGTTTTGGTTACATTGAATATTACTTTTTTTTTTTTTCTTTGTTATTAACTTGTATTTATTTGTGTACTTTATATGACGCACCGTTAAAATAATAATTAGGGAAAGAATGAGCATAGTAAAATTTAATGATTGTTTCTTGTTAAGAAGAATTCAATCAGATATTAGATAGATTAATTGATCAATTATTTTTATTTTTTATTACTACAATATTTATGATATCTATCTTGAAGGATGAATATCTTCGAAAATGGATTGTTAATGAGGAAATATGTAATCGAACAAACATTCTTTTAGGTATGCATTGCAAACATTTACTGGGAAAGGATTTCAAATGATAAATTGTATTTGAGACGATGAACTTTTGCTGTTGAAATTTCGAATGTTTAGTAGATTTTTCCTGTAGGGTGTCAGTTTTTAATTGAAATGATATTTTTGAATTTCGACCTGAAACTTTGCCCACATAAATGTATTGATCAGTAACAAAGACCCAGCAGCTCAAATCACTTTAGAATATTTATTTACTCATTAAGTCCTATTGATTCAATATTGTTTCAGCTTAAAAACAATTTATCACTTTGAAAACTTTCTCTCGTTAGTATAATGCATTGATACCATTAGTCAATCATACACGATTNATGGTAAAGAGAAGAAGAATTTTGTGATTAATATGATTTTCTATTCGTGTTTTGATATTGATTAAGCTCATTGTGTTTTTTTTGTTTTGGTTACATTGAATATTACTTTTTTTTTTTTTTTCTTTGTTATTAACTTGTATTTATTTGTGTACTTTATATGATGCACCGTTAAAATAATAATTAGGGAAAGAATGAGCATAGTAAAATTTAATGATTGTTTCTTGTTGAGAAGAATTCAATCAAATATTAGATAGATTAATTGATCAATTATTTTTATTTTTTATTACTACAATATTTATAATATCTATCTTGAAGGATGAATATCTTCGAAAATGGTTTGTCAATGAGGAAATATTTAATCGAACAAACATTCTTTTAGGTATGCATTGCAAACATTTACTGGGAAAGGATTTCAAATGATAAATTGCATTCGAGACGATGAACTTTTGCTGTTGAAGTTTCGAATGCTTAGTAGATTTTTCCTGTAGGGTGTCAGTTTTTAATTGAAATGATATTTTTGAATTTCGACCTGAAACTTTGCCCACATAAATGTACTGATCAGTAACAAAGACCCAGCAGCTCAAATCACTTTAGAATATTTATTTACTCATTAAGTCCTATTGATTCAATATTGTTTCAGCTTAAAAACAATTTATTACTTTGAAAACTTTCTCTCGTTAGTATAATGCATTGATACCATTAGTCAATCATACACGATTGTTTCTTCTTATGCAGAACAGTTGAAAGTACGTGTGAATATTGAATAGCGATACATGATTTAAAATATTTCGAAAATCAAGAATGATAAGACAGATCATTACAAAAGACTAGATAAATATAGTAGCTTTTCTGTTTGTTCTTTTTGAAATCAAGTCTTATCTAAAACCTACACATGTCTATGATAAACTACTATTTACAACGTCGTGTACTATGTTTATTTTATCAAATTGGAGTCTGCCCAGATCTCAGGTAGACAACAAATAGTAGTCGTAAATGTTGTCGTGTTAATATTAATGAGAAAAATACATTTGATTGTTGCAAGGTAGTATGCAATATTTTATTCAGACTATCCTTATCAAAGAAATAGTTTGAAATTATGAGAGATGAATATATATTTTTGAAAAGGCAAAATACGAATCCAATCTTCATATGAATGTCGTGATTTCTATTTCTATGTTATATTAAAATTATTGCGAAAAATATTAACAAATCCTTGAAATTTATTCAAATAAAAAGTCGATTTTATTTCTCAATTTCAAAGCCATTGGTAATCATTTAAAATCTATTAAGAGACGCATAAAAATATATATGGATAAATAATCCATGTACGTTAATTATACTATAAATTATTGAATAATGAAAAAAAAATCTATGTTAATAATTATGAATATCCTATACTATCTAAAAATAATGTTACAATTTGTATTTTTGTTTGATATAAAAGAAAATCAAAGAAATACAACAATTTCTTTTACATTGAAATTCTTTTCGATCCAATGTAATTTCTAATGTGGTTGTACGACACGTACAAGTATATTAAAGAAAAACAAAAAAACGACACTTCTTGTTCTTCTCTTCCATCATCGTAACCAAAGAACTTTTTTTTTTACTTTTATTGACGATGAATGTTTTTCTGCTTTTTTTTCTTTTTGCTTATAACTCTATAGAATGGCATTTTCTTGTTGTCACTACACTTTTTACGTTTGCCATTGTCAAGGTATATTCTCTACATTTTTATAATGGTAGAAGAACTTCAACAAAATGAAAACTTATCAATAGAACAATCACGTTGGATCGGTGGTAGTACGGTAGTACATCAATTCGAAGATATTTACGATCTTGATGAATTGATTAATCAGTAATTCATTGAATTGAAAATTATTTGCAAAAAAAGACACAAATTTTATTCTTCTTATTATAGTGGACAATTTGCTGATGTATATAAATGTCGATTAAAAAATCGTCAAACAATACAAGCAGTTAAATGTATTTTAAAACGCGTGAGTTATAAAATACAAAAAAGTAATAAAATTTATAATTTATTTCTATAGGGCAATCGAAAAACACCAATTAAAAATGCTTCACTCGTTCTACAACTTGATCATCCAAATTTGGTACTTTGATAAGTTATATTTAGAATTCAGAATGAGTTATATTTATATATTAATCTATGAAGTTTTCAAGAATGTTCATAAGTATTTTATTAATTAGAGTCGCCATGATTGAGTGGCTACGTTGTTGTTCGACACGTATCCACAAGGTACTTTGTGTAAACCTCAGTATCATTAGCCATGGCATAAACCTGGGCAATTCACTAATGGCTATCTGTCTCGAATCACCCATTCGATAGCATGCTGACTACGTTGTAACATACACCTACCCTTCTGGTTAGTCAATGCGTATGGGGGAAGCTCAAGCAAATGAGTGCAAGAACTCTATACCAAACTAAGTGTTTTATCCAGCATTAGGAGCGAGAGAATCAGAGCTACAGCTAGTCATAGTTGTACGGAAGATGTTAGTCCATCGAATTTGTTGTTAAGTAGCACTTCATATCATGACATAGTTCAAAAACAGGAATATTCTTCTTGTTTATGGATTAGAATATATGATCGAAATAATCGTTAGAAAGTTTATCAATAACTAACGAGAAAATCATCTAAATCGATTCAATCATATAAGTTGTATCTACAGAGTTCTGTCGGCTTGATCAGGTTTTTACTATACAACAGAATATGAACAAGAAAATAAAAAAATAAAAAATGTTTGATCTGAAATTGTGTCTATACAGTAGGTTTCATAAACATAAGATTATCTTAAAAATTATAATCCAAACAACCTATTTTATTGGAACTTGTTAGATATTCTTAGTATTATGAGACTTATGTATAAAATAAGCTTCGTGTCAGAAAAAAAATCCTTTTTGTTTCAAATTTTCTGCTCATATTTCTTTGGATTGTAAAAATATGGTAAAATGGGCATAATTCTGTGGATATGGCCTATGCGTTTTGAGGACTCTTTTCATCTAGAGTTCTTCTCTATATGAACTTTAAAATTATCAATTATTCTAAAAATTATCAATCTATTGTTTAAAAGGTTGTCCTTCGTGAAATAGTGGAATCACCATCACATATTTATATTGTTCAAGATTATGTTAATGGACCGAATCTTTTTCAAAAGTAAAAAATTATTTTCAATTTCAAACGACTTTATAATATTTATTGTTGTTGCTAATTTTTTAAGAATAGCTCAAACAGAAGTCTATACAGAACATGAGTTATCAAAATATTGCTTTCAAATATTAAAAGGACTTCAGGTATAAAAAAAACAAAAAACAAATGTTAAAGATTATTTGACTATTTATATTTAGTATATGCATGAACATAAAATTTATCATGGAAAACTTCATGGTGAAAATATATTAATTCATGATATTGATAATAAACAAAAAATATGTCTTGTTGATTATGCTTATACAAATTTATGTACACATGATGCAATTAGTCTTCTTGTTAATCATTCACCAATCTTTTGTGGTAAACAAAAGAAAAAAAATAATAAATTAATAATCATATTCTTTTTTCTTGTTTAATCTTAGCACCTGAAATATTACGTGGTGAATCTATTTCGGCATCAATGGATATGTGGCAATTGGGTTTATTGCTTTTCTTTTGGTAAGATTTAAAAAAAAAAAAAACATTTTCAATTATCTAACTCATTTAATTTAGTCTTTCGGGTACATATCCATTTTATGGTACACAAAAACAAATTTTTCAAAAAATTCTTAAAGGTAAAATTGAATATAATTCATCAGAATGGGATCATGTATCAATCAATGGAATAGTATGTATTGATTGACTATTAATTTTTTTTTTTTTGATAAAATTAAATCATTTTTATTATTTCAATAGAATTTTGTTACGAATCTTCTTAAAGTAAATCCCCGTGATCGTCTTACAATTTATCAAACTTTTTCTCAACCATGGATTCATGAAAAAGTTTATCGTTCAGAAAATTTATCTCAAGCTCAAACAAATATTATTGCTTTTCAAACAGAAAAAAATAATTTAAATACAAACGAAATGTAATTTTTCGATATAGTTTTTTCCTAATAATAATAATAAAATATTTAATTCATTTTCAACAGTATATAGACAAATCTTAACAATTATTTATTAGGATACTAATGTGATAATTGTTGATATTTATTTTTGAAGTATTAAATTATGAATACATCTACTTTGACGTCTTTCGGCTATATCCAATTGATGATAGATAAGTTTAATTGCAATGACTAGTAATATAACAGCTAAGACAAGTGTAGCAAGGATACCAGCAGCTGGAAAACCACGTTTTTGCATCCAACGATTTGTTGTATTTTCATAGGATGATTGAAGACATGTCTGTGATTGTTTACTTTTAATGCAACTATAGAACAAAAAATAACCGAATACTTATATTAATCATTGATAAATCCAGACGATTTTAATAGAAAGAAATCTTAAATAGTGAAGAATTCAACCTACCGACAAGTAACATTTTGTATTCGTCCTTGACATATATGACAATTAATTGACATTATTACATTTCGACTAAGACAAAGAAAACCACATGATGTATCATGTTGACATAGATAAAAACACACATCAGTTGAAAGATTATTCATCGTTTCAGGAATAGAATAGGAATTATTATGTGTTGATAATGATGGTGTTAATTGACATTGTTGGCAACGTTGCATAGAACGTAGTTTATGAAGACAATGTATATGTTCGAGACAATGTGAAAGATTGATGAGTGATGGTATGAGTTGAGTAAGATCAAATGAAGGTGGATAAAATTCACTTTGATGACATTGAGAAATAGAGAGAGAATTATCACATTGAGAAAGAGATACTTTAGCAAGAAATAGATCAGTTATTATAGAACGCCGATATGATGAACGACAAAAACATAATGGTGAATATTCTTGATTGAAGCATCCAGTTGATTTACCTTCAAATAGAGAAATTATATTGAAATTTAACTTCTTTTTTGTTCAATTACTTATAAAGAAAAGAAGATTACTCAATAAATACTTACCATCGATATGATTAAAACACATTATAATGACTATTACTTTAGTTAGAATAAGTACAACACGTATCATTGTATTCATGTTCGACATTGACTTTGTACCTCCATTGCCATCGATTCTTGTACTTATATATAGTACCTAAGGATGATAATGATCTATCGTTCAAACGTCGTCTTTGGAGAGTGATTCAATCAATACTTATTCTTTCTTTTCTGTTTGATCACATCCATATTCTTTATAATGAGTCATCAGGGAAAGATCCATCAAATGACATTATCAAAGCAACACGAAGAGAGTGAGTGAAAGATACTTAATCGTGTCATATCTCTATATACGGTAATATGAAAGTACGAAAACAAAATATGAAGCAATTACAACTATTCTGTTATTATTAGTTGAAAAGCTATGACAAGAAGAAAACAAAATTTTTTTTTATCCATCACCGAATACTTTCAGTTCCTTCTGTTTCGTTTAAATTCTAACACATGAAAATTCATATTAGCTTAATTTATTATTCAAAGATTATTAAAAATAACAAAACTTCTGTTTGAAAAAGAGAGTCTATTGAACTGAAATCAGAGATCAAAGAAATACCAAGCGTAATAGATGGCTATCGACAACAGGGAACAAATGAAGCATTCGCTGTTTCACCTGTATTCATGTAGATACATCAAACAAAGAATAACGGATAAATGACAGACGGAGCTTTTGCACAATCATTCCGCAATATCTCACCGTCTGGATGCCAACGTAGATGGCTCAATTAAGATTATCATATCAAATATTTACTATCCGTTTCAAAGTATACTGTGCTCCAATGAGTTTTTGAATAACAAAACAATGCAACGAGCTAAAGAACATCATGGCATACATGTCTATAAAAGAACTAAGAAACAGTTACACTTTGAACGTGCTACATTGTCTAAACTTTTCAATTATTTGATTATTAACTTATGATAATTCAATACTTTTAAAGTTTTGATCACATGGACATATAGCTTGTAGCCTCTATCATCAATCTGCAAAATTCCAACTTTGATAGCTATTATTGATCAAGAGAAATACCATTTTTTTGCTCAAGCTCACTCATTCCCTTACTTTTCAATTGGATAAATATGAATAGAAGTGTCAATAAAGTTAATAAACTATGATAAGTATTGTAGTAATGATTGGTTTGTTTGGAGAACACTACGACACGGATAGATCTATAACATTATATATGCAGTCTTTCAGANCTTCCAAATGATGGACGTAAACGAATGTCATATTCTTTGAGTAGATCTTGAATAATTATGGATGCATTTTTTAAACGACTTACGGTCATTCGTTGAAAACTTCTATTCATAAGAAAAGAAAAATACAACTAATTTATTTATATCATAATAGATAAAATTTTATAGTTTCAGTTGTTCAGAAATAAACAGATAATTCTGTAAGACTAAGAGTATATAATGATTCAAAGTTCGTAATTTAGTGGCACAACCAGAAGAAAAAGTCGTAGAGTGATGGCAGAGGCTCTCTGATAACTCTATGAAAAGAAGTTCAAGTTCTTTATTAAGTGGAAGATGAATTGACAAGGAAACCTTCGTAACTTAAAAATCATTTTCATAATGATTCCAAATATGAGCATGAAACTTCCTCATAGGTCTTCCAAGAGCTGGTTTTGCAAAAAAAACTAGGTTTCAGAACACAATTTTCTTTTTGTAATAATCTTATCAGAGGAGCTCAGTAGAACTTAAATCTAGTGCTCTCAATGAAAGTTAGGTCTAAAGTAGATTGATCTTTTTTCTTATACTGATTGAAGTTTTGATGGAAAAAGATTTTCGCTGCAGAACAGGCGATAATCTATTGTTCGCTGTTTTTTTTAAGTCAAAAGCGATTTTTAATTTGGCAACGTTCTCTTGTGAGTTATTTTATTAGATTAAATTTAATCATAAAGTTGTATAGGTCATTATCATTCAGAAAAACTTTAGATTTAAACTATTTTTTTATGTTATTTATTTAAATATGAAAATGAATGGCGTCCAATCATAAGAATGTTAATTCATGAATACATTATCAATTATTGAAATTTTTTACAGATGGGATATGTATGAAATTTAAAAACTTACAAGGGAACGTTTCTAAGTGTCAAATCGCTTTTGAGTGGAGACTATGTGTATCATGTAGTTTCTAATGATCTATCAATACGCTGAAAAGAGTTTGGATTCAAGATTTATTACTGCTGATTTTTCGATTGCATCCGTTCTGAACGAAGAAGATTGAACTTTTGCCGTTGTATATGAATGTTGTGAAAAAACATACTTTTAACATAGTCATATCTTAGGATAGAAGCAATCAAAAAATATCTGAAAACTTTACAATAAATTATTCTCATGAAAGTCTATCTCTATGCAAAGTTTCAAATCGAAATTTTATTTGATAATTAGGTCGAATTCTACATCTGTCAATGCGAGAATAACTGTTTCATACTCTAAGTCTTGCATTGAAAATATGATTTGTCAACATACGTAGAAAAATATCAGTAGATTTTAGTTCCAAGCTTTTTTTTTCTTTCATGAACGATAGTTTCGAGAACCTTGAAGAGTTAGTCAAAGTTGATAGCAAAAAATTTTCTATCGAATGACTCTATTCAAGTGTATTAGAATGATCCCCATAAAGAAAAAGCAGATAATGATATTATCTTATTTAATATACGTCATCTGTCATATAATAATAAGAAATTTATTTTTAATATATTATATCGAATACTATTGATCGTAATTCATAAAATTAATTCTTTATCAGGTATTTTCAATTTTTTGCTAACAAGAAATAAAATAATAAATTGTTGTATTTTGTCGTTATTACATACGAGAGAGTGAGAACAAATTCAATGATAGTTCGATCATGCGAACAAACACTCAGTGCCTTAGGCTTACTCGATTTAGTTTTCTTCTTCTTTTTCTTTTCTACTTGATAGATTTCTATACATAGTAAATCTGGCCCTTTTTTTTTAATTTCTTAGAACATTGTATATTCGATGATGGGTAGTAACTCAACATAACACATTGTATATAATCAATTTGAGTTCACTTCAATACATTCTATTAATTATGGAAAAGGAGAAAAGTATCATAGTGTTATCAACAATTTCTTCATTTAATGTCATGTCATATTTTGGTTTTTTTCTTTTTTGTACGAAAAAAAAAATAAGCAAACAAACTAATATGAACATACCGACGAACGATGAATATGCAAACAAGTTGTATCATGAGAAGTAATCGTATATGTTGATAATGAGAGAACATAATCGAACAATAAACGACGGCATCGGACGGATTCAGACAATGATTATTGGCATCGATAACCAGAATATAAGCCAAGAGCAAAAATAAAAACAATATTCTAAATAAGTCTTTAATTTTATATATAAAATTTCTATGAAGACAATTTTCTAATCTTAATCAATTGCAAGCAATTCGTATATATTTAAGTTGTTAGTATTAATGATCCTACACTATCCAAAGATGACGCGACGAGCACACTTTATCTCGCTTCTACAGTCAATCTATCTAGTTTCTCTCTTCCTTACCAGGTTTGCATGTTTATCGTTATTCTTCAGTTCTTTTTTCTTTTCTCTCTCTCTCTCTCTCTCTCTCTACAACAGAAAAGACGAAGAAGAAGAAAAAAAGAATGAGATAATCAGAAGTCTTTCGATATAATCCAATATATCAAGTTCATTCTGTGCGCCTTGTCCGTCCCTTTAACTTTACAAATAATTCTTCGCTCATCATTTTTACATTTGCTATCGTTACAACACTAATTGAAAGATAGTTGCATTTTTCTCAATAGATCTTATCGATATGATACATAAATTTAATGAATATAAGCAAAAAAACAAGACCGAATCTAAATATAAGTCTAGAATTTATTCACAAAAGAAATTAAAAAAATTCTAAGTATTAAGTTCACATTGAATTATATTGATGATTTATTTAGCACATAACATACAATGTAATAAAGAAGTCAATATATGTTTTGTATGATTGCTATCGTTTATTTATTCTGATTTCGGAAGAAGGAAACTATATTCTTTCTATTATAATCAGGAAAAACATCGACCAATGTTTGACAGCATTATCCATATTGTATTCTATATTGAATATGAAGAAGAAAAAAAAGTAATCAAGAGAAATGACTGACTCTATGTTTGGTCTACGATTGGTATAGAATAAGAAAAAAATATATATAATCTATATTAGCATCTTATGAATACATAATTCTGAAATTATTTTACATCGATCAACAATCGCACATAGACAGTCGATAAAACAACAATCATATTCTACTTTCTTGTTTCAAAGATTTCAGTTATTTGTTTTTCTTTCTGTTTATTGACACGATATTATCAATTGAACTGAAATATTTTCCATTAAATCTTCTGAAAGAGTGAAATTAGCTCATAGAAATTAGTACTTTTCATCATGTCTATGAATGCTATAATTTTAGTCGCAAGATTATTTTGTTAAGATAGGAAACGAGAAATCAAGACTGAAAGATTCACTTAACGACGATCATTTTGATCGTTGAAAATGATATATTATTGCATTATGTTTCATTATAGTTCTTTGTAATCTGTCATTCTGTTTTACGAGTCATTTTTTATTCTAACCGTATTATATTGTATACAGCATGGTTTTCTTGAGTCTACGAAATTATTCCAATTCAAAAATGCTTTGAAAATCGAACTAATCTATACATTTATTTAATATTTCAAAGGTCTTTCACTTTTGATGGCAAAGAAAAAGTAGATAACACAATTTGTGATCCTTTTTACTATTGACATATTTTTCCGTATGTTGTTATTGCTGCTATTTTGCGTTTATTTATTTATCTTCTTTAATCAACTGATCATATAATATTTACGTTATATACAATTGATTTTTTTTCTGTACAAACAAAATTATTATATTGTAATGCTTTTGCCGATAGTGCTAATATTGATGAAATCCTTTGCCGACTATCTACATACACACCGTTCAATCTAGAGTCCCGAACAAAAGTAATTTACTCTCACTCCTGAAGTAATACCGATTTTA